TCGTAGCTGCGGCCCGGATACTGAGATTTTGGTCTTTTCTGATAGCTTGAAGAGCAAGATTTATTTTTCGTTCCTCATTAATAGTTGCCATCGCTGGTGGTGGAGAAAATCATATTGAAAGTTGGATGGTGTGGAAATTTGGTGAGGTGTTTCACTCGCTTGTCTGTTTCACTCGCTTATCATGCACGTTATATAAAACTATAATAATAGGGCGAAATAAAGAAAGAAGAAGTAAAGGGTATTAGGTTTTATTTCTCTAAGGTTTTTCCTATTATAGAGACTTATATAGTTATTCTCGATATAAGCTATAGGCTTCTAGGAGTAGTAAAATAAAATTAAAAAAATACTAATATACTAACTCTTAAAGTGAATATGTACTATAGTACTAGTATATATCACTACATCTTAATGTACCTATTACTTGCTACTACCAGTACTTATTCGTGGCCAGTTGGTTTAGGAGGCAGTTCAAAAGCAAGCTGTGCACTTGTAGCCAACAGCCCGGTAGTCTGACCAGTGACCTTAGGGTCCGGACCAATCATGTTGCTAGGGAAGCCAGGCTCAAAAGGCACGACACTTTCCAGCTGCTGGATCTGCTTGTCGGTGAGCTTGATGCTCAGGGCCTTGATGTTGTCCTTGAGATGCTCGACCTTTCGACCACCGACGATGGGGAAGACATTGGTGGTCTTGCTGAACACGTAGGCCAAGGCAACGGCGGTGATGGAGTAGTCGCCGTCCAGCTCGGCGGCGACCTTTTCGAGGGCCTCGCTGACTTTGGCCTCGACGTCGGACTGCTCGCCGGCGTTGCGGATGGCACGCAGGCCTTCGCCTTGCTGGCGGCGCTCCTCGAGGGCCTTTTTGGTCTGGAACTTGCCGCCGCCCAGGACGTCCCACGGGGCCAGGGCCATGCCGTAGTGGCGGGCCATAGGGATGATGTCGCGCTCGAAGTCGCGCAGCATCACGTTCCACCGGCCCTGGTAGACGCTGAAGGGGGTTTTGGCGTGCGCCCGCGCGTACTCGTTGGCCGCGCTGACCACCCACGCCGGGCTGTCCGAGATGCCCAGGTACAGCACTTTGCCCTGCTTGACCAGCACGTCCAGCGAGTCCATGATCTCCTCGATCGACGTGGTGTGGTCCCACCAGTGCAGGTACAGGAGGTCGATGTAGTCGGTGCGTAGCTTCTTCAGCGAGTCTCGCACGCTGACGTGGAGACTCCTCCTCGAGTTGCCGCTGTAGTTGACCGTCTGCGGCGCTCCCTTGGGTTGTCGGGGTCCGATCTCGTAGTTGCGGTATGGCGTGGTGTACTTGGTCGCAATCACGATCTGGTCTCGGTTGCCGCGGCTTTCCATCCATTCTCCAATCCACTTTTCCGACTCTTCGCTTTGGTAGTTGTTCGCCGTGTCGATGAAATTCCCGCCCGCCTAGCCAAATGGTTTGAGTGTCAACAACAGGAACGACGGGCTATACAGTGCGGATACTACTACTAGTACGCACTATGTTACATAGTACTGTGTAGTAGTACTATGTGTGTAGAGTTTGGAGGAAGAGTTCAAATGCCTGCTCACCTCAAAATACGCATCCAGCAATTTGAAAGATTGCTCCTTGTTCATGCTCCCCATGAAGTCCTTCCATGCTTCGCCAATGCTCATGGCGCCGAGCTGCAACGGGGAAACTCGCACACCTGCGGTCGAAGACAGGATCCTGTAGCGACCGAGCTCCGTGGGAGGTGCGGGGGCTGGCGTGAAGAAGTCGGCCATTTTCAAGTTGTCGTGAGTGAGTGAGTGAGTGGTTTCGGTTTCTGTCTACTCGGCTTGACCTGGGTCGTCTCAGGCGTCGGGCAGTACCACCTAATACTATTAGGTATGTGTGAAAATGGTACTGTAGATTCAAAAACGGTATGTAGTAGACAGTTTGTCTGTATTCTCCGGCGACGTCGCCTAATATATACATTAGTACATACTTAGCTATGATAGCAGTACTAGTGGTGACATCACGCCAATGCCGAGCCTCGGATGATTTGTGCAGAGCTTATCAATCCGGTCCGGACTCACCACCATCACCAGGGTCTTATCTCCTGCTCCGGGGTCGAACTTGATTGCCAGACGCTCTCCACATCCTGCCAGAGCTCTGAGCCGGGGTTCTGGACGTCTCGACAGCTAAGACTAATTGGTTGTTTTCTTGAGACCGCATTGCTGAGCTGCATATCCCAGGACCACTGATATCCCAGGACCACTGATATCCCAGGACCACTGATATCCCAGGACCATGCATGTTCCAAGTTGTATTTTGATCAAATGTCTTTCCGTCAATTTCCGGGCTGTCGGAGGAGATCGTCTCCGGTGATGCGGGTGTTGGTGTTGGTGTGGGTGTGGGTGTTGGTGTTGGGGAAGAAAGAGTGCGCCAGGGGTTAAAGAACACTAATCCCCGTAATCTCCTGTACATATCATATGGTAGTGTCCGACACAATGAGATGACTGTCAGGTGAGAGTCGCTGTCCCTTTAGTAAGCCTGGGCCGGCCGTTGTGCCTCTTTGCAGAATTCCAAGATAAGCTAAAGCTGAGGGTTTAGGTGCAAGGCCGAAAATGCCTCGTCGACCTCAAACCGTCATATCTATAAGCCTTGCCATATTTCTACATGCCCTATGTAGCTTTGGCCATCCTATCCGTCCATCGGCTGGTCTAGCACGGCAAACCAGGTTCCACAAATCGCACACACAATCCCTATCATGACCAGCGACCAGCATGCGACCTCGTCAAAAAGACCCATCTTGCTATGCTCATCGCGGCAGATCTTGAGGTAGAAGCATGCAGGCAAGACGATGCAGATGACGATGCACAGCGCCGACCCCATCAATGCAACCACGTCGTCAAAGTTGGGGATGGTGATGGCCAGGGCTAGTTCGAGCAGATTGCACAACGTTCCGATGGAAACGCGGGCGAATCGACGTCCGGGGCTCCCTCGGTGGTCGGGTTTACCTGAGTCAGTTTCAGGGATGTGATCGTGAACTTGAAGGAGGCCAACCCCCAGTGTCCTGTTGATCGTATCCATGAGAGGCCGATTGACCAGGGCAATCTTTGTAAGAGGTACCACTGCGACGAGGGCCAGCGTAAAGACCGCGACGACCCGAGGATACGACTCGATGCTGAGGATGTTGGACGTGATCTCGGTAAGAACGCCGTCGCCAAACATCAAATATCCGAGAGCCGCGATCGACAAGGCAAGGCAGTATGTGACCCCGTATGTATAAGCAAGAGCGGTGCTGTATCTTTGCGGATGCCGCATGTCCTTGAATACAGAGGGGATGATGCTGTGCCCACCCCAGGGAGCCATGAATAGACCCAGCGTTGCCGGCACCGATCTCCAATCCAAGGGAAAGGCGCGTGTGTCTGCTAGCTGCCAGAGGGAGCCCGGCGTGTCGGGCTTCGCCAGGCCTGTGGTGACGAGAAGGACGAGGATGCCAGCGATGCAGAAGATCCCGATGGCACTGCTGACACTCAAGATGCGCAGAGGCACGAAATTCAGGGGGATGAGGCCGACGGCAATGACAATCTTCCACATGGACACGCTCAGCGTTGATACCAGTGAACCGACACTGTCCGCAAACAGGATTATCAGCGCCACATTGGCAGTGAGGAGCTCGAAAACAAACAGCACTTCGACCAAACGGCGGCCCATCCTGCCAAAAGCAAGGTATGCAATGTCACCGTACGTAACCGCACTTGGATCGGTGTTGAGACATCTGACCAGTAGCTTTGCCGTGTACGCCGTGACCAGTGCCGGCAATGTGAGGAGGAACAGACCAACAACCCAACCACATTGTTGAAGTCCAAGCGGCAGGGCGAGAATGCCCACCCCAACAAGAATATTGGTGCAGTTGAAGATTGTCATTGGCACCGTCGATCTCCCTGGGGAAGTGACCATGGCCCTTTCCCGGCAAGGCTTAAAGTTCTCCTCAACGAGGCGAACATGTCCAGCGCCAGCGGCCGCGGCAGCCGCATCTTCGTCGGAGTTTAGGGTGGGTCGAGAAGGGCCGCTCAGCCCTGAATACCGTCTCGACGGATGGTCGTCCGTCAGCCTAACCCCGCAGCCTATGGCCCCATAACCCGGCAAGCGTGGAGCGACGTCGGACTGAGAGAAGGACAGCCTCTCTTCGTCGTAGATTGCAGATGGGCATTGCCTCTCTGGCCTGACAGGGATAGACTCGAAGTCTTCGGGGTTAGCATGAGAAATTGATTCGAGGAACCGAGTTGCCCTGTGCCATGATTGGGAGAAATTGCTGATGGTATTGAGATTCTTCATCGGAAATGGCAGCAAGACGATGGATGTGGATCACCCGAGCAGCTGCAAACTTTGGCTGGACACATGCTGCTGTGGTTTCAAGGGCTCTTTTATCCCTGCTAGATCTTCTGAGTGTATTGTGTCGTTGGGATTGAAATTTGTCTGTGGCGAAGTGTGGTGGCGTTATGTGGTAGTTAGGAGGTTGCATCCAAATTCGGTGGTTCATGTAATGGAAATTGTAGGGCGCAGTGGATTGGATTGGATTGGGTTCGCCTTATAAATTTGAATTGAACGGGTTTGCCGACAATAGCCGATCTAGGCCCAGGCCCCAACAAGGCTGCGTCAATTCGTGGAGTGATAAAGTCCCAGGCCGACCGCCGGCATTTTTGGTGTTGTCCTCTCCTTTCTTTTTGTTCAGACAACACAGCCTCATCAACTGTGAGATGATGGGTATGTATACATGTCTGATTGCGTCTTATGCCCAGGGCACCAGTGAAGGGCCTTCTTGCTCCCAGGGCCTTAAGTAGTGTTTCCAGATACTGCCGTCTGAAACAGTACCCGTCAGATCAAGGACGATCGTCCTCTTCTTCCCCATCCTTTTCTTCCTTTTCTTCCCCTTTTGTTTTTGTCCTCATCCTCCCCTTTCTCAAAAAGTACCTCGATAACTTCTTCGTGGCCACCTACCGAGGCTGCCTGGAGAACAGTTCCGTCATGATCTGATGCCCCATATGTAAGAAGCAACCTGACGGTTTTTGCCTGGCCAGCCGCCGAAGCCACTTGTAGAGGAGTAGTACCGTCTCCTCCCTGTATGTTAGGATCCGCTCCATTCACAATAAGGGTGCGGACAACTTCTAAGTGACCAGCTGCCGAAGCCACTTGTAGAGCAGTTGTACCGTCTTGTGTCTGTATATTAGGATCCGCTCCCTTTCTAAGAAGGGTGCGGACAATTCTTGTGTAGCCAGCTGCCGAAGCCACTTGTAGAGCAGTTTCACCGTGCTCTCCAGTGCTGCCCGGGGAGACTCCCAACCCCAATAGAGCACGTACCAGAACAGGTCTGCCGTTGCAAGAGAAGTTACAAAGTAGATGGCCATATCTACTACTACCGTTGTCGTCCTCCATGCTGGTGGCGGCTGTGGATACTGCTTCTAGCTCAAGCAGCGTGGCCGCAACATCCACCGTATCATCTTTAAATGATGCTTCCTGGTTACAGAGGAGCCGGAAGTCATCCGCTTCTCCAAGGCCCTCAAGGCTATCGTCCCTTAATAGTCCGGTTCTCTCGAACCAGGATGCCAGTAGCCAGGACGCCGGGGTTCCCTCCTGACGCATAACGGATTCGGCAAACTCAGCACCGATATTTCGTGCTTGGTCGACCTTGTCGCCCGAATTTTGCAGATGCCGGGGCAGAAAACGGAAGATGTAAAAAAGCAGCGGCCAATCTCTGAGATACCTGATAACAGCAACAGCAGTGGGAGCATCGTCAGTGTCGTCAGAGTCATCTAGACATATTTGCGGGCAGCGTTCTGTGAATAGTCGAAGGTAAGAAATACAGTTGACGAAGATTTCGTATTCTCCTTGAGGGCGCTTCATAGAGAATTGTCCCGCCCTGGAATCTCTGGTCAGAAAATCCCGGACAGTCCGGTGCAGAAGCTGGATGATGTCTTCGTGGTCTCGAGTCTTGAGGCGGCCGCTAGAATTCGACATTGGTATAATCTCCAGGAGGTCGCCGCAGACGTGGGCAATTCTAAGCTTGACGTTGGAGTGGTCTGGGAGCAGATGAGCGGATAGGTCGATACCTGAGTTCTCTTCTACTGTGGCTGGTATAGCGATTGCGTGGCGAAATTCTTCAACCGTCAGCGGCCGCTCGGCGAATGTCGCCCATGTTAGCATTTGTCGCGCCTCTCGGACTAAGTCGTCGATCTTTCTCTTTCCTTTCTCCTCGAATCGAGCGAGCAAGTCGTTGATGATGCGCTCGTAGAATTCCTCCAACTCCTCGGGGAGCTCGTGCAGTGTCTTCTTGATAGCTATTGGGATATAGCCAGTGTCGACACACCTCTTCAGCTCATTTGTAACAATCTCCACCCACAAGAACACACCTCGGGCCTTTTCTGCGAGGTAATCAGCCGCGTCTCGGAGCACGTCCTCGAATGAGGCCATGCTTGTCGAGTTGTTTCGAGAACTGGAGTGCTTCGATCGATAGGCTTTCTGTAATCGAACCATCTTCACTCGTATGAAGCTTTTGATGTCCTCTTCGTTCTTCTGCTCTAGAATCAGGTGAAAGAAGCCTTTACGGCTCTCCCTGTCCAGAAGACTGTCTTTAATGTCATCCTGCGGTCGACTGGCAAGCACATATTTGATAATGCATGCCCTACCTTTGCTACCTGTGTCGCCGAAGTGTTCTAGCAGAGACAGAATTCGGTCTCTTTCTGACTTTTCTGCCTCGTCCATTCCGTCGATGACCAGATAGACCTCGAGATGAAAGTCTTCGAATTTGGCCAATGACGCGAAGACATGATGGAGATTGTCAAAACTCCAATCGATATTGGCGGCTCGCCCCCCGGCACCGGCCAGCAGCTTTCGGTATGTCTCTCGGAAGATCGGATAAAGTCTTCGCTCCTGGTCGAGAAGTTGATACAAGAGAGACTGGAGCATCTGAGTGTTGCTGATTTCGGACTTCGCTCCCCTGAGACTATAGAAGAAACTGGCAAGGAGAACGGTGCTGGTGTTGGGTGACATGTGAGTGCCGGCTGCGGGACATACCGGTTTCTTCGTGAACACTCCATAACGGTCCGGTATCTTGTGCCGACTCATTATGTCGCTGAGAAGCTTTTTGGACAGCGTGGATTTCCCGCTACCGGGCTTGCCTTGTATCCACAGCAAGGCTGATTCCTTTGAGTCGTTCCAATCCTTGTAAGTATCATCTACCCATAACCACGCACCTGTCTCTTTTTCTCCAAGTGAGACGAGTCCACGGCGTTCGTTATCTGCCCTTGCAGCTAGAGAATTCAAGCAGTCTGTAGACGTGTCAGTTGACTTTTCTTCTACCTAGTCACCTGAGAAGCTTCACCCGTGGATTCTTTTTCTGGGTTGATAGATGGCAAGCCAGCCATGATGTCCTGTATGATTTTAAAGGGCCGGCTCACAATCAAGATCTTAAGTCTCTTGCTCCCTCCAGCAATTGCCGTTTCCACAGTATCCCAGATGTCACGGAGGCTTCGCAGAAAGCGAGTCATTTCGGCTCGAGGCAGCTCATCAATGCCATCCAGGACAATCCGGACCTCTTGATTCTCGGTCAACATACTGAACAGCATCGTTTGCAAAGCCTTCCAGAGTGCGACCTCATGGTCATTTTCAGTGGGTCGGTGACCAGCTGAAAGATGAGCTTGGATGTCTGTGGGGAGGTTCGGGAAATTATCCCTGCCTATGAATTGAGAGGTGATTGCGGTAACCAATGCTACCGATGTGATACGCTGCGGCGGAGTAGATAGTGAGATTTTGGAGTGATGAGAACAGAAGAAGTATGCAAGGCGTGTCCGGAATGAATATTTCTCTTCGAGTTGGTTCACTATTTCCAGTGATGTCGTAGTCTTTCCGGAGCCGGGGGGTCCTGAGTACCACAGAAACCGAGCTTCGTTGCTCGAGAGCCAGCCATAATATTCTGGACTTTCAAGAAACCATTTTATGGCTTCACGGTTGATCTTGACCACTCTAAATTCCTGCTGGAATACCGATTCCACATGGTCGGAGAATGTTTTCATGTCTTGCAGTATGGAACCTTGGTACTTGAGCAGAATATTGTCGTTGACAAGGTTTGTGATGCGCTCGCGCAAACGGATGTACCCGAGTTCCTTGTCGCTCATAAATCTGTGGATGTTCCGGTGGGTACCAGGACAGGGGATGTTAAATTTGCCAGGAATGCTCGCGGAGTCTTTCGATACAGCCTTGATAGATCGTAGAAATGTTAGCGTTCAAGTACTTCCAGCACCGTCGCAGAACTCACGTTCATGATTGGGAATGGCCCCATGCATTCGGGCATAACCTCGTAAAAGTTGACCATCTCCGTACTGCCATAGCCCGTGAGGAAATCGTGATGAAGAGACCTGTTCTCCTGAGATCTATGATCAAGAACTTCAAGGAGAGTGCTGCTTGAGCCTTGCCAGTGGCCGAAGAGCGACATCGCCTTTGCGAAGACCATCAACTCTGAACCCTCATGAGGAGTGCCGAGGAAGATGAAGCCTTTGACACAGTTTGGGTCAAATCGACTTCGTAGCTTGCCAGAACCATTGGGGCGTGCTATGACCATGGCCTGGAGATTTCAAGTGTCAGAAAGATCCCCTTCCTCAGGGTCAAACTTAACAGCATTTTTTCCGGCCTCATCTCTATCATTATCAATATAGCCTAGCCTCCCCCCAGGCCCATTTGACAGAGAACAAGGAATCTGTCAACCCATATTTGATACTGAGATCTCGTCCATACCTGTTTGATGATGAGGCCCCCGAAGCTATACCCGATGAATATGATTGGACGAGTTCGCTCCTGTAGATACAAGATACAATGTTAGGATCCATAGAGCCTTACCACGAGCCATCATATCTACCAGTTGTACCTCATCTTTTGTTCTCACGTCCTCGATCGAGGTCAAGAGATCTTGCCCGTAGTCCCTTAGAGACATGCCCGATGCATGCGCTTGCCATCCAGAGTTGTGGTAATAGACCAGAACTCGAGCCTGGAGCTCCTTGAGAGGGAGGAAGTCTCGGAACCAAATAGGCCCAATTTTCGAGTCTGGAGCTCCTTGAGAGGGAGGAAGTCTCGGAACCAAATAGGCCCAATTTTCGAGTCCAGACCTGGGGTCGTCCAGCTCTGCGTCAGAGCCTCATCGGTCGTGCCACTTTGCGGAGCATCCTTAAGCTTGTAAGCCCATGCAGTGTCCGGTGACAAACCCAGCCCGTGAACGGCCACGATACTGGTACACGACGACTCAGTGAACGTTCAAGACGTACTAGACTCGACAATCAACAACTTACTCGACCGATATCGGGACACTAGATGGCGAATCGGGGGCGCAGTTGGGACCGAATTGGTCCATTGGCTTGGCCGACCGATAGGAGCCTTTCTGCTTGAAGAGAAAGACCTGCGCTGGGGACAAGGCGACACAGATAGCTAGATTCAAGAGGCATAACGACATGTAGAGAAGTGTGTCCAGCCTCGATTCCTGCTGGAGGCATCTCTCCGTGAGGAACACCAGGGACAACAAGGTTGCTGCCCATATTTGATGGAACAGCTTCCCAGCCACTAGAGCTGCCCAGGTGAGATATAGAGTGAAGACGCCTAACAAGACTGTTGTCGAAGCCATATGTTACATGGTGGGTGTGTAACGGTTGGTAGAGTTGGAAGTTGTCGGAAAGGCTCAGCGGCTGACGAGGTCGCGAAGGCCCCAGTGCCTGGACATACTATTAATAGGCGTGGTGCATCCAGCTGGTGCATCTGATGCATCCCCGCCGTTCTGTGGCGTTCTGGAGGGTAGGAGCTGAAGGAAGGCCAACACATACATGCATGTGATATTGGACGCTCGTTGGGTTAGTCCCCGAATTGGCTTGAGGAGGCGCCAGAGACTTACTGAAGTTGGCTAGGTCGGAACCATTGAAAAGAGCAAAGCACCGTGTCGGATTTCGCGAAAGTACCTAACGTCCTAACCGGTGAGCACGAGCAGGGGAGGGGATGTGATGGGAGGATGCCCAGCACCTGCAGGATTCAATCTTGTCTGATGTTTGCCGAGTCAAAGGCGTGGCACAATCCTGCAGCGCATGCCTGCCTTCCTTTCCTCTTTGCAGCGCAGGCGAAGACAGTTGATGTTCGCTGTACGGAGGGAGTACTACTAACTACTATCTAGTAGTCATCCTCTCTCTTCCAGCCTCTCCGACTACATAAGTCACCTGCGTATACTACTCTCGAGATCTGTCAGTTCCAAAAAAACCCTTGACGAAGTGTGCTGATTCCTCGAAAGGGTTGACAAGGTCCCGAGTCTGCTCCTGATTGCACTGCGCCATGACCAGCAGCATCCCGTTCCCCAAAAACAAGCAACTCTGCTCAGAATTGTCCATCGTCAAAACCCCTCGCCGCACCCTTGCCAGGAGGGTGACGTCCGTTCACTCATCTGTCTCGACAACCGTGGACCTTGACTGGCTACCGGGCCAGCCTTGGATCAAGCTACAAGATCAAGAGAAGGTGACTCGGTATCTGAAAAAGGAATTGATTACAGAGGACCTCAACAAGCTATCTCCTCACCTGTGGCTGGTTGCTACCCAGAACAGCACACACATTTCGTCGCTGGCCCGTCAACTGGTACGAGGTCGCGATATCGTGGTCACTGAAGATCCAGGCCTTCACTTGACGTGGATCTACGAAAGGGTCTTTATCAAGCCGCTTCCAGAGTATCTACCTCGTCAGCCCAGAATCGCCCATCGCTCCTACGGATATAGACGCCCTTCTCAAAGCAGCACGTGGATTCTTGAGATCCTATGCGTTCCTTATCCAACACAAGGCAGACTATCTTATTGCAACGCACGACGACAGATTGGGTCTCGTTCCAAGATCTATCACCTTTCCTGACTTGGTTGAATTTCTGAGATATTTCAGGGACATCCCGGACCAACAGGTTTCTCCTCGATACTAAGGTGCCTACCCCGAGGAGATTAAATCGGTTTTCATCTAGCTAGATACTATATTAATACTAGATTAGATAGAGATCGGATCTATATAATATACAACCGTATCCGATCCGGATCCGATCCGTGTCGCTAGGCTTAAATCGGTAATTTTATTAGCGTTTCGATCCGTGTTCGATCCGATTTCGAGATTTAAAACCGTATTAAAATAGTATTAGAACTATATTAAAACTATACTAAAACCGTATTCGCTATAAAAGCGATTTTAAAAAAAATAATAAGGGTTCGATTCTTAATCGAGACGAGAGTTTTTATTTTTATTTTAATATATAAATAAAGGAGACTACCGCTAAAATTTTTAAAATTTAATTTTACTACTAACTATTAACTATATAGTCTATACCGCTAGACTATTAGTCCGTAAATTCTCTAAAGTTACTAATTTATAGAAAAAGTATTAATAAAATCAATATACTTACTATTTATTAGTAACACTATAAAATTTATAAAATTTAACTAAGTCTAAAATCGATATAGTTCGAATACGGTTCGAATACGGTTCGAACACGGTTTAGATACGGTTCGGATCCGGTTTAGATACGGATTAAATATATATAAACTTCTAACCGTATTAATATAGAGTTAAAACTGATTTAATCTACTAGGGATGGGCCTCTTAGTACGCATTTGGGGACCTGCGACTCACGCGGATCAATTTTTGGATCACAATATTCATGTGGCGCTCAACTTATTTCAAGCAATACGGTCAATACGGGTCATACTTTGCCCAGTTCTACGGCCCTCTCCTGTTCATCCTCGGAGTCGTCGCGCTTGCCCTAAACTCGATGCAAGTCGTTCCGGTCGTTCAAGAGGTCCTCGGATTTGGGCCTGGGTGGATTATTTTCGCGTCTATGGCGCGAGGCTTTTCAGTCTTCACTCTTTTTGTGATCCTGCTTTTATCATTCGTATTGGTCACAATACTTCTACTCCTTATTTCTCGGGAGACTATCTACGCTGTGAAAGATCTTTACCGGAAAAGGGAGACTGATAGGAAGGATGATAGTTCTGCAGCCCAGACTAGCTTAGAAACGACTATAGACAGGAGAAATGCTACTGACAGTAATGTATAGATGGTACTACTATATAACTACCTACTAAAGAAATTAGAAGTAGTAACCAGATTAAAGCAAGATCAAACCTAAATCAAACCCGGATCAAATCCTGATTAGATCTAGATTATATTTCTAAACTTTATTCAACTACTACTATATTAGTAGATAAAATATACTGTAGGGCGTAAATCCTCCCTAAGTCTGCCTACTGAGCAACTAAGCTAAATTTGGTCTATAGAGTCTTACCTACTCGTACTAAGAGCAATATAGACATACTCGACAGAGCAACACTCTCGACAGAGTATATAGCAACGTACTTAACAGAGTAACGTACTACACGACAGCGTCAAGTAAAGCGTTCGACAGAGCAACGCTCTCGACAGTATCAAGTATAGCGTTCGATAGAGTACTAACGCAGGCGAGGAGCAACGAGCAACACAGGCGAGAGAGAGTAACGAGCAACGAGCAACGCAGGCGAGAGAGAGTAACGAGCAACGAGCAACGCAGGCGAGAGAGA